TTAAGCTATTTATGGGTTTAACACTTCTTGTGGGCACTTGATATTGTAAAAAAAATATGCGCAATTCGATCCCTAACTACATTTTTTTGTAAAGAACGCCCGTTTGCTTTAAATTTGAAAAATACAATTATTTTTTTATTTTGTATACATCTGTCATTTGTTACAAATGAAGAAAAGTCCAAGAGTTGCCAAGTATAAATATCTTTATATCTATTTATTAAAATAATAATTTACAATAATAATTTATTTAATTAATACTTTATTAAAATACAAATTTGAAGTGCAAATACATTTGTAAAACTGTTTATCACAAAATGTTATTAATTGTTTGCAAGCATACTATAGTTTTCATGCATTTTGAGAATAAATAATCTAATATGTGTACATATATATCGTCGTTTAAAGTACAAAACCGCGTATCGTCATTCTTCAAAACCGTGTGACTGACATTGGCTTCCAAAAATTGGATTTGCTCACAAAAGCTCTTGGCTCAATTCTTATCCATTCGTCCTGAAATATACTAGCCAGAAATACGTTTGCTTTATAAAAAAGATAACCATTTTGAAATATGGGTGACTTTACTCTCTAGAAAATAATTTATGCAATTACGCAGTTTTGCATTTTCTTGATACGCGGTTTTGTACTTTAAACGACGATATGTATAGCATGTACTTACGGCGGCCGCCGTAGCAGAGTGATTACATGTGCGTACTTCCACTCCATAGGACCATGGTTAAATACCTGGTCAGATCATAACCCAAAATAGCAGTCGTCCTTCGGCACGCAATGGCAAACCTTCGAGTATATTTCTGCATTGAAAACTCTTCTTATAAAATCAGAACTCATGCCTCAAGTTTGAGCAGAAGTTCGGCCAAACACTTAGAAAAATATTTTAGCACCAAATATTTATTTGTTTACTTATTTTGAGGGAGATGGCAATCTTCTGGTTTCACATTTTGAGTACAAAAATTTCAACCCTGATACAACAAATAGTATTAGTACTGAATGATATTGACAGATTGCATTCCCATAAACGTCCAATCATACATGATTGAGTTCTTTTTTTGCATTCACATTCTCTATGTGAATGGGTGTCAACCATTCCATAACACACTACATATTTTGTGTTTACAATTTGTAACCAATCTCAAGAGTGGTTGTTAAATTTTTTAAATCAAACAATCACATTTTTGAAACGAAAAAAATGAGAATGCACACTCAATTGATTCAATCATTACACAGCTCTGATACATACTTATGTGCTTATGTATGTATGTGCACCGACCCGGTCTAATGTGCATACGATATTCATACACATATTGCGCTAAAAACTGCAAAGCACATCTCTCTAGCACGTTTCAGTAATTTAATTAAATAAAGTTTCAAGTTTTGCTCATTTACTAAGTATTGATTATTTAATTTATTTTCCCTTCTATGGGCATACATATACATATGTACATATGTAAAACTTCCACACATGCATCTATCGCTTTGCATGCAACTGCATAATAAAACATTTTAAAATATTTTAAAAGTCGTAAATGACTTGTGGCGCATGCAATAGAGCTTAATGGAGCAAGGAAAGAATTTATTGTTGGAAAAAATGTTTGCAGATAAGGGAAAAAAGCGAAAAAATTTAGAATTTTTGAAACATCTTCAAATTAAGCAAACCGAGCAATTTAAAACAGGTACAGCTATTCTACTATTATTTTTTATGGTTTCTATTTTATTTTTGTTAATTTGTATTTATAGAGGTTAAAGCCCGCTATTATTTGCATATAATTATAAAATTGTCCAAAAACAAGTTCAGCTGTGTCAATTCATTAATTTTTTATTGACGAATACTTTGTTGTTTGTTTTCTGTTAATTGCAATGCTGTACTTGTTTATATTTCTTTTTGTTAGTGTTTTTTTTTGTGCTATGCTTGTTTTTGGGTTAAAAGACCGCATTGAAGGTTTGTATTGTCTAGGCGAATTCACGCTCACGCAATAAAAATGTAAACTATTTTTAACCGACTTCCAAAAAAGGAGGAGGTTATCAGTTCGTCGGAATATTTTTTTTTTTTTTTTTTTTTTTTTTATGTATGTTACCGCATAACTTTGCACCACGTCAACCGATTTCAATAATTCTTTTTGCACGGAAAGGTAGTGTCTCAGAGGTGGTCCCATACTAATTTGGTTTAGATCCGATCATTGGATCATGAAATATATAGATATATATATATTTTTTTTTAAGTCGGTTTTTTTTTGCTAAAAATTACTTGTTATTTTGCCTTTTTTAGAATTTTATTAGCTCAATGCACTTTTTAGGCTTGGTTGATTTGCTTGGTCTGTTCACAAGACATACATATTTCTGTGCTTATGTACAGCACTGTTTACAAGTAGTTTAAAAATGTTAAAATTTATGAAAAGGCGTCGAGCAAACTTAAAACGGTGGTGTTAATAATAGTAAATATTTTTATATTAATTTACCTATTATTTCAGTAGCTCTTGTGTTTTATAGGGACAACAAAAAGCAATAATTTCATGAAAAAACTGGGTTTAGTGACCCGTACTACCACGCTGGTGGGAGTTAGGCCGCCATGGACACTTTTGTAGAGCATTCAATTCTGCAGAAGATTATACCATATAATGCCTCTCAGCTGAAAAAGTTTACGTGTATTTTGAACGGGACATCTTTGCACGCCTTGGTCGAATTTTTTCTAGGTATTTCCCACAAAATTTCAGGCTGGGAGTGCAAAATAAATAGTCGCCGAAAAAAAGAACCCTAATTTATATATGTAATTAGACTACTGTTCACCTAAATTCATTAAAAATGAAATAGATTAAAAAGCCTTATAAGCTGCATAAAATTTATATTATTTCGATTTATAAAGCCACGTGACTCTGGCGGTTTAACGTTATGATTTCAAATTTAAGAAAAAAATCACCGTAAATAATGTCCTTGTTGATTTTTTGACCTACTTAGCAGATCCACTGCTTATTTTTCTATCTAACAAATCTGGATACCTGACTACTACTTCCTTATTTCTTTCAAAAAGCGCAGGTAAATTTCTGTTTGCCTTTGTATGAGAGGGTAAGCCAGAACACGAACCAGAACCACTGCAACTGATTTATTCAAACAAGCAGAGGAGGGCATTCTTTAACTAGTTACTTGAAGCTTAGACTTGTTTTCAATAGATGCATGCTATAGCTAAGAGCGCTAATTATATACACCGCGACCTCTGGTGAGGTCTGTTGTGCGTGTTTCTTCACCGTATATTAGCCTAGCACTTCAGAGAGCTTTTTATTCCCCAAATTCAATGCGTCTGGTGAGAGTACCATATTCACAGAAAATATATTCTCGCATTTATTTATTCGTTCAGCTCACAGAAGCGAAAGATGATCGGGGCTGAAAAATTCATATTGCTTATGACATTCCTAGTGTGCGCTTTGGCTAGCCCACTAAAGGGTTCCGACCATAAAATTTAGCTGAAGCGCTGTATTTTGCCTTCTCTCCTTGTGGCTCTCACGCCCAGTAGTACTGTGTTCTCGTTTTCAAGAGTGTTAGTTTGGGAAAATATCATATACTGGCTTTGATGTTCTTATCGGGGACTTCAGTGCTAGTAAGACGGCCTGACTGTCACGACATAAGGCATATGTATTTCCAAGATTTCTCTGATGTACCAAGGTTGTTTGAAAAATGTTAACTGCCCATAAGTTTGGTCCAACTAGTTATACCAGCCCCAGTTTTTCCATATTCAATTTTGGATCCATCTTTATACCAAACCTCCCCATTAGATAGTTTCAGAATAGGGTCTCCCTTTATTCCAGAGAGCTCTACTTAGAATGGATACCTTAAAATTCGTAGAGATTTTTTGTTTTGGAAGAATATCTTCAAAACCTTCATATGGCTCTATTTTTTCTGATAACGCTATTCCTTAGTAGTTATCCTATAGGCTTCACAAACACTCATGCGCAACTTCAGCTTGCAATATATTGGTGCGGTATGACAATCGCTAGGTCTGAGCAGTACCAACACATATGTGACATATGTTACCAGACGGGAGTCTGTATAGATAAAAACAGACTAGCTGTGAAAGCCGTTCACGGCCTGTCTGTACAGTCCCGGGTCCAGCGGGGACCCTCCTCCCTTTCTTTGTTTTGATTTTTTCTATTCGCTCTTGCTCTAACAGCTGAGTTTGATAAATTTCTGATTAAACTTAGAGACGGCAGCGATTTGTTCGTAGTTCGCATGGTTATTTGGGTCTATATTATCAACAAATGAAGTAATTCGCTCTGAAAATTTTGTATGGCGAATTACGTAACTCGAAGGGTAATTGGGGCGCCAATTACGAATGAGAGATCCAATTACGGATGGGAGAGCGAATAACTTGTCGTGGGAACTTAGTATTACCGGCGACCGCACAGATGTTACATAGTTCTATTTTTTTTATCACCGAAGTTCATAAATTGGGTAACGCCGCTACGAATTTTTCACAATTGTCAAAAATCTGCTTTTTAATGAAGAAATTGTTTATTGAAGCTACCTTCTCTTTTGTATCATGTCTTTAAGTATGATATAACAATGTTTTTGACAATTGTTTTTGGCCCAAAGTTATTGCCCTTCTATTGCTTACCCACCAGATTTCAGTTCTTATCACCCTGTCAGGGCTGTATGTACCCTAATGTCACTAAATTAAGGCTCACCAAAATTCACTAAACTTTTGCTGAGGATGTATTTTGATTATACTAGTGGAACTATTTGAAAAAAAATATTGCGAATGTATGTAGGTGTTACCAGAAAATGTAAAAAGTGACACCTAGGTTCGGAAAAACCATATTTTTTTTCAAATTACATACCTTGCAAGAATAGGCAGGGTTTTTACGGCGATCTTTTTTTTTTTTTTGTTTTGTAAAGTGGTATGGTATATTTAGTCCATATTTTCGTATTGTCTTTTTAAATTTTATATTTCAAATTTACTAATTTCACTTTATTTTATTTTTTCATTTTAGTTTTCCTCGTGCCACAGCGCGTGATCCTCGCGATCATGGGCTTCTTGGCCATGCTCAACGCATACACTATGCGTATTTGTCTCTCGGTAGCCATTACCGAGCTGGTGGTGAAGAGGAATTATACAGATGATAATAGTGAAGTAGTGGCTGTGTGTAAAGCCGATGATTTGGACTCAGGGTCAAGCGTAAGTTCTTGCCTTACTTACCCAATTATTAGTAGATAATTTGTTTTTCTCTTTCTCCCGCCCTCACTTTATCTCTCTTTTTCTCTCTGTCTCCTACAGTCTAGCGGTCAATATGAATGGTCAGAGGAGTTACAGGGTTATATTCTCTCGTCTTTTTACATTGGCTACATTTTGACGCACATTCCCGGCGGTCTATTGGCTGAGAAATTTGGCGGCAAATGGACGCTCAGTTTGGGCATTCTTTCCACAGCCTTCTTCACCGTCATTACGCCACTTGCTATTATTCATGGTGGCGCTAACTGGCTGATTATAGTACGTATATTGATGGGCATCGGTGAGGGTACTACCTTCCCGGCGTTGAGTGTATTGCTGGCGCAATGGGTACCAGTGAAGGAGCGTGGCAAATTGGGCGCTTTGGTATTGGGCGGTGGGCAAGTCGGCACAATTTTGGGTAACTTATTATCTGGTTTCCTTTTGGCTGCCTATGACTGGCCTGTGGTTTTCTACTTCTTCGGTGGTTTGGGCATTATATGGTTCATAATATTTGTAAGTAGAAATGACGCCAACAAAGCAAAGTGAAACTAGTCGAGATTTATAATATATACATTTCCTAATACTACGTACACTTTTTAGACCTTCCTTTGCTACAGCGATCCGACGACACATCCATTTATTAAGCCTAGCGAAAAGCAATATCTAACCAAACATATGGGCACCATTGGACGTAACAAGAATCTGCCACCCACACCATGGAAGGCTATACTTACTAGCTTGCCAATGTGGGCGCTGATATCGGCACAAATCGGTCACGATTGGGGCTTTTACATTATGGTTACAGATTTGCCCAAATATATGGCGGACGTTATGCAATTCTCCATCAAAGCCAATGGTCTCTACTCTTCACTGCCATACGCTGTAATGTGGATATTTTCGCTAAGTTCAGGCTGGGTGGGCGATGTTTTAATCACACGCAAGATTATGAGCATCACAAAAGTACGCAAAATGATGACTGGTTTGGGTAAGTCGGAAAGCGTGGGTGGTGACTAGCTAAATAGTGGCTAGCGAAAATATTTCGTTACTCTAATTTTCGTTGTTTTTTTTATTTTATGCGCAGCTGCCTATGGTCCAGCGATCTTCATGGTTGCCGCTTCATATGCGGGTTGTGATCGTGTTGTAGTCGTGACGCTCTTCACCATTTGCATGGGTCTTATGGGTGCTTTCTATGCAGGCATGAAGCTAACACCACTCGACATGAGTCCCAACTATGCGGGCACATTGATGGCAATAACTAATGGCATCGGCGCGATTACAGGCGTAGTTTCGCCATCGTTAGTCGGTTTGATGACACCAAATGTAAGTTGAAACGAAAGAAAGTATTGACATTTCATAGAGAATTTTCAGTCTAGCTAAGAGTAAGTTATATTAACAACATCCTAGTTTCTGAGAAATTTTAGTGCATTACTAATTAGGGGGAATTTGGAAAACCTAAATAACAGTTGTGACAAATAAGATTTTCACATATGTATGTATGTATATACGAGTATTTTTCGTTTCGTTATGAGGTTGGCAACGAGAAAACAGGCAGCATTCAGACACTTCCTAAGAAAAGCTTTTGATTGATTTTCGCATGCGTTTTACGTTACAGATTTCATAAGCCGAGAGAAATAGCAGATCAGCTATAAAAATGAAAGAATTTTTGAGACTGACACTGGTAAAAAATTATGGCACAGCAAAATTAGTAATTTGGTAACATCTAGTAACGACTCTGAACACTAGAAACACAGATAAGGGTCCTTTGATCCATTTCCAAATTGTAAAGGCCACTTTTCTCCAAACAATCAGTATGTAGTGAACGGAAATAGATTTTAACTAGCTTATACCCGCGGGTTTCACCCCGCGCTTTTATACAAATAGGAAAAATAATTTAATGATGTTAGATTTTATTTCTGTGCCCATTTCGTTATAGCTCGTTATTTTTTAAGCGAGTTAAGGTATTTAGGCCGTTTAAAACTATTAAAATATAAAATCTCGTCTGCGCGCTAGGCATACGAAAGATATCAATCCCTCTAAGTTTACCTTAAAATGGTTCCAGGTATACGACGCGTGAACGTGTAACCTTCTTGGAGGTGCCACGGCGGGTTTTAATGTTTCCAACTCAAATTTAGTAACCTGGCCTTGATAAAATAGCACTTCTCATTACTGTAGCAAATGCCTCAAGAGAGCTTTAGATTATAAGGCCGAACTCGGCTCTCCCTTTTCCAGTTAATGAAATTTATTCTGTCAGTACGGCACTTATAAAATAAATCTCCATAACAAATTTAAAATACTTCGAGAGATTTTCTATCCTTCCAGAGATATGTATTAAGAAGTTTTTAGTATCCATACCAAGTTCCAGTATTCTTCCACAAACACTTCCAGGGATATGTGGAAAGAAAAAGTAAATTTGTACTGGAAGTGCCACGCCCCTTTTCTTATAACCCTAATCTTCTTCCATGAATTTAGAATTGATTTTACATACCCCAGTACCAAGTGCCAGTACTCTACCTTAAACACCTTTAGAGATAAGCAGTATAAATCAGTAAATTTGTACGGGAGGAACCATGTCCCCTTTTCGAATAACGCAAATTTTTCTCCATGAGTATGGAATTAATTTTGTATACACATCTCGGTGCCAAGTTCCAGTCCTCTGCAATAAACACCTCCAGAGATATGCAGCATAGAAAAATCAATTTGCATGGGAGTTGCCACACCACCTTTTCCAATAACTCTCATTTTTTTCCATGAGTATGGTATTAGTTTTACATACATACATACATATGTATTTCCATACCAAGCTTGAGTGCTTTACCCCAAACATTTGAAGAGATATGCAATATGAAACTTTCAGTCAGTATGGGAGGTGCTACGCCTCTTTTCCAAAAACGTCCATTTTTCTCCGTGAATATGAACATGATTTCACACAGTGTTGGCAAACTGTTAATCTGATTAACGATTAAAAATTAACGATTAAAATGTTAATCGCGTTTGACGATTAAAATTAATTAGTCGTAATCAACTGTACGATTAATGATAACATTTTTTTAATCGTTAATCGCTGGCTGCGATTACGTTTAATTAATTTAAAACATTAATCGTTAATCCAATTAAAAATAAAATCTGATTAATTTGTCTAGTTTGTCCGAGTTTGAAACCAAACACCAGTTATAGTAATTATTTTGTGTATTACACTTATAAAAAGCACATAATATAAAAAAATTATAATTATTGTTATTAGTAATACATAAACTGGGAACTTTTACAAACCTAGTTTGTAACACGTTTGTTGGTATATATCTTAATGAAAATGCACACCAAATTGCTTAGATTGATGAGGATTAACTTGCTTTGTGTGCACAGGGAAATTCCAGCATAACTTAATTAATCACCAAACCTACCTGATCAAATTAAGAGTTAACGATTAAAAATTAATTTTTTAATCGCGGTTACGATTAACTGTTAAGTCAGATTAAAATTAATAATGATTAACTGTAATCAGATTGAATTAATCGAATTAACTAACTGATTAAAACATCAATCGATTAATGCCATCATTGATTTCGCATACATATCACTATATCAAGTTTCAGTTCTCTCCCACAAATACTTCCAGAGATATGTATGTAATATGAAAATTCCAATTTGTATGGGAGGGGCCTTGAGTTATCGGACTTACTTTCAGTCTAAGACCATCCATCCGTAGTAAGTGTACTAAATTTCGTTCTGATCGGAAAACCGGTTAAGGAAGTAGCCTATTTTTCAATCCAGGTCATAAACCATCTTTGAACAAAATTTCATTTTCAAACAGGTGGCAACTTAAAAAAGTAGCCTTCTTTCCAATCTAGGTCATAAGCTATCTGTGTGCAAACTTTCATGCAAATCAGTTCAGTCATTTACGTGTATTAATTTAATTAAACTTTTTTAATACGTGATAACTCTTAAAATAGTAGCCTATTTTCCAACACAGGTCATAAGCTATCTCTGTCCGAAATGTCATGCAAATCTGTTCAGTCGTTTCCGCGTAATAATTTAATATAAACTTTTTTAACAGGTGGCAACTCTTCCAAAAAATTTGCCTATTTTCCACTGTCATAAGCTATCTGCTTGCAAAATTTCATGCAAATCCGTTCAGACTTTTCCGCGTATTAACTTAATTAAACTATTTTAGCAGGTGCTAACTCTTAAAAAAATAGCCTATTTTTCAACCTAGCTCATAAGTTATCTGTGTGAAAACTTCCATGCATATCAGTTCACTCATTTCCGCATATGAATTAAATTAAACATTTCTAACAGGTGGCAACTCTTAATAAAGTGGCCTACTTTCTAACCTAGGTCATAAGCTATCTGTGTGCAAAATTTCATGCAAATCCGTTTAGTCGTTTCCGCGTATTAATTTAATTAAACTTTTTTAACAGGTGGCAACTGTTCCAAAAAATTCGCCTATTTTCCACTGTAGGTCATAAGCTCTCTGCTTGCAAAATTTCATGCAAATCCATTCAGTCGTTTCCGCGTATTAATTTAATGAAACTTTTTTAACAGGTGGCAACTCATAAGAAAAGTAGCCTATTTCCCAATCTAGTTCATAATCTATTTTCATGCAAATCCATTCAGTCGTTCCCGGATATTAAATAAATTAAGCCTTTTTAACAGGTGGCAACTCTTAAAAAAACAGCCTATTAACCAATCTGGCCTATAAGATATCTGCGTACCAAATTTCATGCAAATCGGTTCAGTCGTTTCTGCGTGATGATTTCCCAAACATCCAAACATACAAACTTTCACATTATAATATTAGTAAGATTAACTATATTTTATTAATAACTAATACAAAAAAGTGTTTTATTCAAATAATTGTGAATATTATATGTATTAGAACAAGGTGTATACTTTTATTTGTCGCCTAGTGTATGTATGGGGAGTTAATCTTTCCATCTTAAGTTATATACATACTTGAGTTCTTTTTTTGTAATGGAAAGCCATTCAAAACCAAAAATTTTAAATTAAGATTTTGACAAGCAGCATTTTGAAATACGAACGATGCTAGCATAAATAGACCAGTACCCGAATGATTAATCCATTCGAATGGAATGAAATAAAATTACAGCTGTTTTTTTTTCTAATCAAAAATCAAATACATCGTGGACGCCATTTTTTGTTTACATAGCTGTTTTTTTATCATATGGTGACTTGCTAAATTATACGCAAATATGTATGTATATAGGCAAATAAACGAAAATACTTACAAAACTTGCTAATTCTTCTTAACGATAAGTTGAATAAGATAAAAAAAGCAGATGTGCTTTACTTTTTGTTCACCCAACTTTCAATTAGCTTTGACAACAGAAAACAGCTGATGGTTTGAAACTTCATCAGATTTTACCAACAAAAATTCTTCGGGTAAAATGTTCCAACTTCTGGCAAAGAGAGAACCTCATTTACTCTCTTATTTGTCCTCCGATTTGCCACAGAACCGAACACGGGAACGCTTTCTTGTAAATTCCGGAAAAATTTGCCACTACTGGCGAGTTATTTTTAGATCATTGTAAAATCGGTAATTTTAGATTTTCATTTTTTTTCGGTTAAATTTAGTCGTTATTTTATTATTTTATTATTATTTTTTTTTTATTATTATTTTTTGGTCATTTGTAACCATTATAATGGAGACTTAGTTTTTATAACCGACTTAAATCTTTTACGATCTAAAAAATTATATACAAAAATTACGATTATTCTTGAACAAAAAAATAAAATTCATAAAATAATGGTTAAATTTGGTCGATAAAATAGAAATTTAATATCACAACCTTTACGGTCCCTGCTTAAGACTACCTTTTCTCACATTTTTATTTATTTTTTGACTTATGACGTTCTTTTAGGAAATGAGCGATATTAGCTAAATATTTTGTTCATTACATACATGTCTACCAAATTGTGAGATAAGATACTTATTTATTTACCCGTACTTACTTGTTAGTAGATTTTCGGGAACTTGTGACAAGTTAGCTTATCTTACTCGCACTTTAACATATCCAGTTTTTGTTTAACCAATCATAATCTTTTATGGAAAAATTCAAGATTTTTATTAAAAATTTCTTCATTGCTTGAAATATTGTGTTTACCAGGTAAATACACACACCGGTGATAGTTTGACTCGAGTTTGTTTGTAAAAACTTCGCAGGTTTATCGCCCATTTGACGTATTATTATGAAATATGCTTTGCTCTTCACGATCTTTTCAATTGATACTCTGCGGTGAAAGCACATATGTATAATTTTGAACACATAGCACATAACGTTTTAAATACATACATATGTGTTCAATCTCAGGGGATTGATTAGAGCGGCACAGCGTGTACCGG